TGTCTTACTTGGTGTTAATCTTTGTTTGCCTAAACACTTATTTTCTACTTTATGAATGATGAATTATGATCTTGCTTATGACGGTTTTGTTCATTGTTTAAAAATTTTGTCTTGACACTGTAAGAGCTTTGAGAGATTGTCTGGGGTCTTGGTCAAACATGTCTTGACAATGTAAGAGCATCAAGAGATTGTCGGTTGTCTAGATATCGATCCTTAGATTCGAGAGAATTAAGATAGATCTACGTGAACAATAGAATGGATCCGGGATGGTGATGTTCTAACTAGTCTACCTTAGAGATAAGGAGCGAGTTTCAGTCGACTAAAAGGGATAGATGCTAGAGTAGGATGGACAACGATTATAGTTTACACTGAGAGGTATTACTACAACAACAGTCTGACAAACCAAGGGTTGTAGTTAACGTTGATTAGTATTGTAATAACAACTGTCTAAGAATACTTAGTAATCCTGTCGGGCAGCTTAAACATGTCATAACAATTCATTATGGACTTAGAATAATTGCTTGTCAATATAAAAGATTAGCATGAGTGCTCCGTGATAAGTCTGAATATGTGAGGTTGTTTTGAATATATTTGAATCAACGTTTGTCTTTGCCTTATTTACTTAAAATCGATAGTCTTGCATATTTATTTTATCTCGACCAAACTTTTCAGCAATCATACTTTATAATATTTTCTACTTTATTACTATTAGTTTTCTAATTTGACAAGATTGTAGGAATTAGCTTGTGACAACTAGTTCTGGTTGTGAAGCTTAAAAATAATCGACCAATCCCTGAGGAGAAGTCACTTACCCTATATTACTTGATTTGATTGTGTATACTTGCACAGAATTACTTGCCTTAGCATATACATTTACAAGCGATCAATCGTCCCCACAGAAAGGTATGTATGTCAGAAGTTTATTCGAGGCCTTTACCTCATACTAAGTGAACTTTTGTTTATTGCCAGTCTGACTACCTTTCAAGAAGTGGTTAATAAAGCTAAGGATCTAAAAATGACACAAGATGAAAGAGTTATGTTCGATCAGAGGAGGCAGTCAGAGATCAGGAGGATCATCCTCATCTCAATCTAAAAGAGGTAGAGGTTCAGGATATTAGTACCAGAGTAAATTAGATGTTAGTGCTTCTGGTTCGTAAAGGATCTCAGGCAAAGGAAAAAGGGTGTCAGGGACAGACAGCAGCTATAGGAGCTGATAGATCAGCTCAATCTCAGGGATAGTACCCATTATGTCAGCGGTGTGGAAAGTATCATCTTGGTGATGTAAATCAAGATTGGGATCTTGTTTTCATCAAAATTTCAAACTTCTCAAAAATGCTCATTTAAATCCATAAATACGTTTTCCTTCATCAACTTTTCAACTTTTGCCAATTGCACAATCATGCCACTAATTATGAATTCTGTCTACAATTCACCTAAACATTTCAATTAAATTCATAATGATCCTTCACCATTATGATCATTGCACATTAATTACTAAAATTTCTAGCAACTTAAATATATACTCAATTCAATACTTTAACCTTCAAAAACTTGTAATTTCATCATCTATTTCCTTAGACTTTTCGAATTCAACCGTTCACTATAATAATCTTGCAATTCTATTCCAAATCCAATATTTAAACTTAAAAATCAGCATGCTGATATAAATTTCCAACATTGAAATTTCATGCTAAAATAATACCATAACATTTGAAAATTCTCAATTAAGTCCCAACTTTTGAGACTATTCAAATTCCATCACCAAATTTATCCAAAGTTGCACTTTGATCCCAAATTGCTTATTTAAATTATAATTCCAGCATTTCAAATATTAAAATTCAACATTGAACACTCCAATTATCATATTTATGCAATAATATACTACAATTCTCAAAACATATAAATTAGCCCTTTTACTATCTCAAGGTTCCAAATTGATACAAATTGATCTCCAAATCATATAGAACACTTCTATTATCAATTCTAGACCATAGGAAAATTTTCAACATTTTCCCTAATTTATTTCCGCATGGCTGAATATAATTAGTATACTAGGACTTGATTTTCATTACATTTCAAGCATGAATTCAATCTCCTATGATCAAATTAATCCAATTTCAATCATCATAACATCAAATTAAATCCAATTTCAATCAAATTAAATCCAATTTCAACCAAATTAAATCCAATTTCTACCAATTTCCATAAACCCTAACTTGACCAAATTGATTATAAGCATTTCTACTTGGTTTTAATCAATTCAAAGGCTTGGAAATTAATCTACAACACTAATAACATAAAAATCATCCTTTAATTCTCCAAAATCAAACATGTTCTTAATGAACCCTAATTACAAACATCATCATCCAAACATGTTTTCCATGAACTATATATACCAAATGATAGAGAATTTCAATTAGATTATTTCTCTATCTAATAGCTTAATCCAAAAATCAATGGAATAAGCTTAAAGATGAAATATATTTTTTCTTACCTAGCTATGGTAGTTCAAGCTTTGGGGCTGGAAGATGCTGATAATTTCTGATTTTTCTTCAATTAATATCATATTACACCTGGCTTTATCTAATAGAAGTGAATTTAAAATTAAATTAATATGAAATTATCATTTTTCCCTTAATGAAACATGATACTTTCAACTTGCCATTGGAATATCTTCCATTTTAATATTCTAAATTCAAATATGAAAAAAAATAAAAATCCACTTTTCACCTTTGCCCTTACAATTTTTGAAAATTATAATTTAGTCACTAAAATTCACAATTTTGGATTAACATGAAAAATCGACCTTAATTCCACTGATCTATGCTAAATTTCAATGTTCTAAATTATCGAAATAATATTTCCAACCTTTATCTAGCATCCTTCATATTTTTCGTGAAATTTTGATTCGATCCGACTATTCGATTTCTATATTGAACTTTATCGCTTTATAGCATTTTACCACAAATCACGTACCAAAAATCTAATTACCACAAAAATTCTTTTTTAGACCAAACTTTTCATTTAGGGCTAAAATATATAACTTTTCAAATTTACATTTTTAGTCCCTAAACTTTTACTAAGTTTATACTATAACCACTAAACTTTCAAAATTTACATTTTAGTCACTAACCAAAATTTTGGTTATTACAATCATCGTCAGTCGACATCAAATAAAATTGACATCAAATATTAGATCCCAAAATTTGTAGTTCACTCCTTTTTGACACTATAAATATGAATTTAGTGTCTGTTTCATAGAAAAATATCAAGAATTAAACAAATCTATCCTAGAATCATTCAAATTCTTTTAAAATTAAATCATAATAAATTTATTATTGATATTCCTTTAAAAATAAATACACTAAAATTCTAAATCTATATTCATAATGAAATGTATAAATATTTTGTTTATAATATTGTTATGTTTATAATATTAGTATATTCTTTAACATTTGTAAATTATAATATTATTTTAAAAGTTTTAATATTTTTAAAACAAATATAAAATCAAAGTTAACTTTTTAAAATGGTTTTAGAATTCCAATCCAATTCTAACATATTAATAAATTAAACTAACTATAATAAATTTATTATTATGGTTTAATTTTAAAGGAAGTTGAAAGATTATAGGCTAGATTTGTTGAGATTCAGATATTTTCAAGTGATGTTAATTCACATTCAGAGTATAAGAAAAATGAGTGAATAGTAAATTTTAGGGTTTACCAATCAATGACGATGATAATCAATGTCAATCGATGATGGTCGGTAGTGACAATGGTGAGTGGTGGTGGCGATGAGAGACTTTGATTGAATTTAAGGGTCAATTTGATATTTTATCTAAATTTTAGGGATCAAAATGATATTTCATCTAAAGTTGAGGTCTAACTAGTGTTCTATTAAAGTTCAGGGGTAAAACTAAAAAGTAACCCCTTTTGACTCACTTGTCACGTCTTCAGACTCTCGGGAGTTAACAACTCGGTGACTAAAATCTAACGATTGATAACTTAAGTGACCAAAATTTAATAAATCGATAATATAAGTGACCAAAACTTAAATTTTTTGAGTGCTTGAGAAAAAATGTATAATTATGAAAGGAAATACAGATCGAGTAGTTTATCCAATATTTTATAATTCATTATAAAATAAGGACTTTGGCATATTTAAAATTTTCTTTGTCAATTGATAATGACCCACATACATTTTATAGACGCAATTGCTCGAATCCATAATATTTATGAGAACAATATTCTCTTCTACTACTGAGATCACTCAATAGATTATTTTTTTAATTGCTTGTATCATTTTTGTTTATAAATGAAAATTCTAATATAAATAGTTAAAAAAATCTGATAACCCAAACATGAAAAGAAATGTTAAGACTTGGATATCTCCTCAATTATTCCAACATTTATTGGAAATAGGATATTGTCAATATAATACTCTCAAGAACTGAAGTTGTCTTTGCAACCGAAAAATGGTGATATTTCGCAATCTTAAGCAAATTGTACACCATCTCACTTCGAATCTTTTGAGATTTTTAGAACATGCATACAATATGTTACAAAATTGGAGTCAATGTCAAACATCAACAACTTGTTTTAAATTAATTTCCCTCTCAAATTTGTTACCATTAAACATATGGGTAAAGTACACAAATGTTCCCCAACTATATGACACTATCTTATTGAGTCCCTTGATTATTAAAAGTTATGAACCATTTTATAATATTAAATTATCGAGAGACTCAACAAATCAATATCATAAGTTAGGAACCATTTGTGTACTTTACCCTAAACTTATTATATTGAAAGTCTCCTCTGTCAAGTGCATGAACCGCCGATTCAGTATTTCTCGATCGTTACAAAACTTAAAAGTCAACATCCCTGCTCTGTCAAGCTTAAACAACCAAGTCAATCACCCACCATAATGCAATTCCATTGCCATTTTTCAATATATAACTCCAACAAAGTAGTGATCTCTTCCACATTTAGAGAAAGATGACTCCATTATCAAGGAAAACCATACAACATTTCACCCATTCTCATTCATTACGAGAAGTTTCAGCCGACTCCGAGATCCTTTGCGGTGGTTGCAAGACTCTAGGTTCCAGCTTCCGCTATGGACGTGAACTCTGTGATTTTGATCTCCATGATCACTGTGGAACCTGCCCTATGGAACTGTCTTCTTTTCTGCACGAGCATGGCCTCAAACTGGTCATTAGAAAGCCAAAGGCTACGTGACAGAATGATCGTTTCTGTGACTTATGTGGCGACCTCGTCGAAGGACTTTTCTATAGGTGCAGCATTTGTGATTTCGATGTGCACCCTCTTTGTACCCAATTGCCAGAAGATGTGCGGCATGCGATGCATCCATATCATCCTCTGAGGCTGCAACGATCAGTGCCTGGCAAGTGCATGGTCTGCAATGATACATGCAAGTCTTGGCATTATAGATGTGGGCTTTGCAGCTTTGATCTTCACCTCGAGTGTGTCTTATCACCTTGCAAGGGTGCAATGCCGACAACGTCAACGGCTCGATCTTTGAAAACACCAATGCCACCACCTTCGCCTGTTTTCAGTCATTGTTATGGTTATGGCTATGGGGCCAATCCATTTCCACCACCTCCGAACTCTGCATATGCTTACGGGGTCCCTGTTGCACCACCCTATTTTGGTCCTTATGATCATGATGGTTATGGAATCCTGTCTAGCTCGTTCCAAACCAACTTCCATTGTCAGCATGGTAATAGCAGTCAAGGTCAAGGAGGTGCTGGAAAGGTTCGAAAGAAAATGTATGCAATTGCTGGGAAACTGGCTCTTGGAGTGCTTTCAAACGTTGTGTTTGGAACCTTGTCACTGTGATCTTGTCATAAGAGCATTGGTGTTTCAGTTGCTTCCTTTTTTTATCTACTTTTCTCTTTGTCCACAACTCAGTAACTTAAAGCGTTAAAAACGATGTACAATTCCAGAAGAATAAAATTCTAACATGGTCGGAAACTCTGAATAATTCCTTTCTTTAGACGATACGTACCTGAAAGGCCAACAATTCGTTGTTCCAAAGACAAACGCATGCTAACTAATCAATACAGGGAACTTGCCCCTGCCTTGTCTTTCGTTTAAAGAAAGTAAAGCAAAAAGCTAATAGATGCTAAATCATCTCATATTTCACCATCCCACAGTTCTTCAAGGCTCTTGTAAGGACTGCAAGTTGGATGTACTGCAAATTCCCATCGCAGGAGTCTTTGCTGCAAAAGAGAATCGATAATTCTTTAGTATGCGCTCATGCTTGTCCATGAGATGATCCTTTTTTTCTCCTTTTATCTAGTAAAATAGAAACATGAGATGAAAGCATCTTTACCTGATGGATGCCCTAGATTTTCTCAAAGAGCTCTGGAGGTATGGACCAAACAAACAGGCTGAAGTATTGCTTGATCCTAGACTCGTTCACACTTTTCGAAAGAACACTGTGACCGCTCTGAATACCCCATCACAAAGCAACTTGTGCCAGAGACTTATTAAGTTTTTCAGCAATTTCAATCAGAATTGGTTCCTTCAAGACTTCTCCTTTAATCCAAGACCCTGGAGATCCAAAAGGGGAAAAATGCCTGCAGAAACATTCATATTCATATGATTCAAATGCCAAGAATCTGTGTATATAACACGAATAACAAGACCGAAATGAAATCAATTCTGTCTTATACCGATAGATGAACACCGGTGGACTTGCACAAGTCGTGTAGCCCAGGCTGATGCCAAACAGGATGGCATTCGACTTGATTGACAGCAGGAGGAACTTTGGCATACTTCAGCAAATCCTGCAACTTCTTAGTTGAGAAGTTGCCAAGTCCAATGGCTCGAGCCTTACCGGATGTATACAAGCTCTCCATCGCAGCCAATGTCTCGAGAACACAAGGGGGAGCCATGATTTCAGGATCCCATCCCCTCATACCAGGCTTCGTACGAAATGGACAATGTATCTATATGTTATGAATGTCAAATTTTGGGAGCATTTCAAGCATAATATAATGTGAAAATTGAACTAAAACAGCAGTAAACATACAAGATAGAGATCGACATAGTCAATTGTAGATCTTCCAGAGTTCTTGCCAATGCTTTGGGCACATCTTCAGGTAAATGATCGCAACACCTTTTCAAATTACGGGAAATCAAAAATGGAATCAATTCACAAACTGGAAGCAGTTCTTGAACACTTCAGCATAAAATCTGGGTTTTACCATAGTTTCGATGTGATAATGATTTAATTGCGCTTCACCATTCCAGAGGAAAACAGACCCTCCCCAATCTAGATTTTCAAGAAACAATCAGTTGTGCTATGTACCAAGCGATTACAAGATAATATCTTTAAGAATTTTTTAATGGCGGGCACACACCACAAATACAATTGTTTTCCGTTATATTTACCCACCTCTTCTTCTTCTTCATAGTATTTCTTAATGGAATCAAGTAACCTCCTTTAATAGGAAAATCTGAAAGAGAAAGAAATAAAGGAAATAATTGAAGATAAAAGAACCTTGATTGCAGTAACCACAGATTCACCAACAACACCGGGAAAAGTTTTCCGTTATATTTACCCACCTCTTCTTCTTCTTCATATTATTTCTTCTTTTCTAGGTTACTTCTTTTCTTCCTCTTCTTCTTCCTCTTCCTTTTCTTCTTCTTATTCCTCCTCCTCCTAAAATCTCACCTCTCCAAAAACTGCTCAAACGGGACTTCACTCCCACACTCAAATTCATCATCCAACTCTTATTCTTTTAAAACGCTAACAAATTCCGTGGCAATATTAGGCTTTGTTCCTTGCTTGCAATTTTGACCTACAGTAACATTGAATGTCAAAGGAAGTTTGCAGAAATGACAAATATATACTAAAATAAATTCATTTTTTTTTTTGCTAAGATTTGACTGAATTCAGACTGGCTTGATATTGAAGAATTGCAAGTGTGTGTGTGTGTAGCTTATTGTGTTGTTGCCAAAGATGCTGTTGGAAAGCCGATACAACGGTGACCAAAAGTCTCAATAAGGAGTTTGGGTATGAATATTTAATTTAGCTTGTTTAAATTATATACATGTGTTATAATATTGATTATGATATTTATAAGTATAAAAAGAATATTATGAATAAGTTTTAGAGTATGAACTGCTCTAGATCATTTTCATAATTGAAAATGCATGAAAGGATGCATAAAGGCATGAACGAATGCCATAATTGAAAATGCATGAAAGGATGCATAAAGGCATGAACAGATGCCATAATTTAAATTGCATGAAAGGATGCATTAAGGCATGAACGGATGTCATAATTGGAAATGCTTGAAAAGGGTGTATGAGGACATTAGAGGATGTCCTTTATATTAAAAAGAATAAATGAATGTGTAAATATGTGATCATAGACATGAGTGACTTAAATGAGCTAAAGATAAGTATGTTGGACATACTAAAGATTATATTAGAGATAATAATGTTTGAGTATAATAGGAATGATTTAACACATTCTTGTGGATGGTATAAATGCTTCTAAAGTGAAATAACTATGAAATACTTATGTATTTTTTTAATGTTATTTGCTATATTATCTCACTAAGTAAATGCTTATCGTGTGTGGTTTCTCACGCGTAGGACAAAGACAAGATTAACTGAGTAAGGAGTGCTTTTGTAACTGTGGTGATCATCAACTAAGGTGGAAAAATATGTAACACCATACAATCTAATATATTTTGGAAGTTTTATTGGCATGTAATCACAATACTTAAATGTTTTTAAATTCAAACAATTGAAATGTATGACATGTTGAAAGAAATATTTTGTATTATATTAATATATTATGTTTTAAAAAATCTTTATGGTGACATCCATATCTCATGTACGGAAGGGTATATAGGAAACGAGTGTTTCAAATTTGGTTGTAATTACTTGATTTAGGGGATTTGTTATTAATTGGGCAAATCTTAGCCGTTGATGTAAAACGATCTTGGCTATTGATTGAGAGGGAGATCAACTATAAATAGAGAGCTCTCCTCCTCATTTGTAATCATCCAATTTCATTCATTCTCTTTGAGAGAGTAATAAAATCTCTGAGGCATTTACTCTATACTTTTAGAGTTCTTTGTTCTTTATTCTCTTTGTGTTGTTGCATATCTTGGCGGCTAGGAGTAGCCACACTTGTGTTTGCACTTCCACACGATAGTCCAACCTTGGTGGCTTGGAGTAGCCATGTTGGTGTTAAAGCTTCCGCAATCCTAGAAGCCTTGAGGGTTTGGTTCCAACCTTTGTGAGTTTGCATGCTCACTTAGTTTGGTTAAGGCTTACTTAGTCGCATAGAAGATCAAGAAGCGTCTAAGGCCGTACAACCCGTCAGACCTTATTTATGATATTCCGACGGTTTGGGCTTGAAGGTTCTGAGGGCGTGACACTTGAAACTAGAGGACAAAAATATATATCTCAAATCAAATCATTTTATTATATTTCTTTGAGACAAGTATTGTATCTCCGCTAAAATATCATTCACACATTAACTCTATTATAATGGACATTTTGAGGGTTAAGAAGCATCCTCAAATCTCACGCACTAAAGAATTCTATAAGACATGAAGGGAATGCCTTACGAGGAAAAACCTCAAACATTTGATGTCCCTCGGAAAGCTACGACCTATTATATGATTTAATATAATGAAATTTAATTTAATCAGTTATTTTTTTAAATATTGAACTAACTGATTATTCGTTCATAATTATATATTTATGTTAAAAAAAATTTATGATCTAATCATAAGTTATAATTTCTAATAATATTTTAGAAAAATTCAAATGAAAGTAAACAATTAAATTCGTAAAAATCCTTAATATAAAAAATCTCAAAAAATTTATGAGTTAAAAATTTATATATTTTTCAAAAAGTATAATTATATTTAATTTTAAAAAATAAAATGCATAAACTAATATAAATGTCAAAAATATGATTTTTTTTTATTTTTACAATTTTATATAACGGGTTTTTAGAATTTTTATTTTTATGGTACTTGATAATGTCACGGGCCTAGACTGTTGCTAGCAAGTTCGTACGGACTTAGAAGTTTTCAAGGTCGAAAATTGACTAAGTAACCCAAACCCACACTAGGCAAGAAACCTTAGAACGTTGCGGAAACAAAGGAAATAGGGGAAAATAAAGAGATGGACGCCCAAATGAAAAAGAGAGTGTAATACCCCGAATATCAGGTCAGTGACTATATTAAAATGATTTAAAAATTTTGGGAATTTAATTGAATAAATGGTAAAGTATAAGAAATGATTTAGAAATTGTGTTTAGACCAATTAGTATGAATGGAAGAATGAAAGGTCATTTTGGCGCTTTAGAGGGGAATAGATTTAAGAGTTATTTTAATTAGGATATTTAAAAAGAGGAAAAAGGGGAAAGTTGAAAAAACAAGCTTAGTCAGCTTCTCATCTCCTTCTTCCCGTGATCCCGTGCTCTTCTCCATAGACAAAGGTAAGGCTTCATTTAGCTAGTTTTTCTTTTCGTTTTTGGTTTGTTCTTTAAACCTTAAGTGATGTGGAAGCTTAAGGAAAGTTTAAAGAGGATTAAAACTAACAGATGGGTGATTTATTTGAGATTGAAGAAAAAGGGTTTTTGAGTGATATGTTGAAATATGAGTTTTTATTGAGGTTTACAAGTATATTTGACTTGTCAAAGATGTAAATAAGAGATTAAAAGCCTTAAAACAGATTAAAAACATGTATGAAAAAGTAGTGTGATTCTTAGTTTGGGATGTTCTTTGGAGATTTTAGATGTTATAAGTAGCTAAATGGAGGAAAGTTAGTTGGGTTAAGTGATATTAAGTTTAAGGGTA